TCTTTTTGGTTTGAGGTTTGTGGTGTTTAGTGACCACAAGAGTTTGAAGTACCTGTTCGACCAGAAGGAGTTGAACATGAGGCAGAGGAGATGGATGGAGTTCATTAAGGACTACGACTTCGAGCTAAGGTATCATCCTGGCAAGGCCAATGTGGTAGATGATGCTTTGAGTCGGAAATCCAGTAGTTCATCCAGTTTGTTACTTGGTAACTTTGATGTGGTTGAGAAGTTCCGAAACTTGGCAGTGACCGCTCCGTGTGAGAGTGTACTTCTCGAGTTGGAAGCAGCAGATGTTGTGAACGAGCTGCTAGAAAAGATCAAAGAGGCAAAAGTTCAGAGAGAGTGTCTGGATTATGTGAAGAACCAAGACAGTGTGTCTTGGAATGATGATGGATTGCTTTTGTTTCAGCAAAGGATTGTTGTTCCTCGAGGTCCGTTGACAGAAGAGGTTATGGAAGAAGGCCATAAGGGTCAGTTTTCTATTCATCCTGGTGCTACGAAGATGTACCAAGACTTAAAGAGAAATTTCTGGTGGCCAGGAATGAAGAAGGACATAGCTGTGTATGTGTCCAAGTGTTTGATATGCCAGAAGGTGAAGATTGAACACCAGAAGCCATCTGGTAAACTTCAACCTCTTGAGATTCCAGAGTGGAAATGGGAGAGCATTTCCATGGACTTCGTTGTGGGTTTGCCGAAGACTCAGGTTGGCTGTGACTCGATATGGGTCATTGTGGACATATTGGCAAAGTCTGCCCATTTTCTTCCAGTGAAGGTGAGCTTCACTACAGAGCAGTTGGCCAAGCTTTATGTTCGCGAGATCGTGAGGCTTCACGGGGTGCCCGAGAGTATCATTAGTGATAGGGACCCGAAGTTCACATCTCGGTTCTGGGAGGCGTTGCAGGGAGCTTTTGGTACGCAGTTGAGACTGAGTACAGCCTATCACCCTCAGACTGATGGACAGACTGAGCGGACTATCCAGACCTTGGAGGACATGTTGCGGGCTTGCACGTTGGAGCAGGGCTCGGCATGGGATAGGTACCTTCCATTGGTGGAGTTTTCGTATAACAACAGTTTACATGCTAGCCTGGGCATGGCACCCTACGAGGCGCTCTACGGTAGGAGATGTTGCACACCTACCTGCTGGTTCGAAGGTTGGGCATCGTGAGTTATTTGGTGTGGACTTTGTCCAAGATACCACCCTGCAGATCCAGATGATCAGGGAAAAGCTGAAGCAGGCGCAGAATCGTCAGAAGAGCTACTACGGTGTCAAGCATCGTCCACTGGAGTTCAGTGAGGGTGAGCACGTGTTTGTAAGACTTTCACCTGTCACAGGTGTTGGACGGGAACTCGGAGTGAGGAAGCTGAGCCCGCGGTTTATTGGGCCATACCAGATTCTTGGTAGAGTAGGACCTGTTGCCTACCGGCTTGCCTTGCCTCCGAACCTGGCTAACATTCACGACATGTTTCACGTGTCTCAGCTTCGGAGGTACATAGCCGATCCGTCGCATGTGGTGCAACCGGATGTTGTGGAGGTTCGGCAGAACCTAAAGACTCCCGTCAGACCACTAAAGATTCTCGATCGTGGCGAGAAGCAGCTGAGGAGCAAGATCATCCCGATGGTCAAGGTGCAGTGGACCGGAAGGACTCCTGAGGAGTGTACTTGGGAGCATGAGGACCAGCTTTTCCGGCAGTACCCCGAGTTTCGACCAGGTATGTTTCTGATTTTGAGGTCAAAATCCTAAAAAGGTGGGGTGGATGTAAGAACCCGCACCGTTAATTAAGGAATTTAATTAATAAATTATGAGAAATTAGGAAATGATTCCATAATTGACCCTAATAATTATTATGAGGCTTTAATAATTATAATAAGTGAGAATTAATGCTGAAAGTCGCTTTTCGGAAGGAAAGTGCAGATACCGATTCTGCTAGTCGGTATAAATGCGTACCGAAAAAGTATCCCGGAAAATTAATGTAAGTGCATGATAATTACTAGAACAATATGTAGGACTTGTAAAACGAGTTTCAAGTCCAAATAATGAGAACTGGTGCTAGAAACCGGTATTGGCTTGGAAAAGCGCGTACCAAAAAGGTGCTCAGAAAATTATAAGAAAAATATGATAATTCTTGGAAAAATGTGTAGTTTCTGATTCCAAACTTTGGAATTAAAATGATAAGCGTAGCAATTAAAGTTAATATTGTGTGTTTAAGTGCGTTTGGGCTATAAATACTCTCTTTAAAGGCACTCAACCCTAGAAAACAGAATTTTGAGCGTGAGAGTGGCTGAACAGAACCTTGAAACACTGTTCCTTAGGCTTCTCTTCTCCTTCTCTAGGCTTGAAGCCATTTTCTTCACTTTTTCTCTTGTAAACACATTGGGTGAGTGTGAACAATCCTTGTGAGTGAGAAAGAGACTTCATTTCTGAGTTTGGCTTCTGTCTTGAGAGGGTGAGCTTGCTGTTTTCACGTTTTGGGAAGGAGGGAGCTTTCCTTGGGTGTTTTGAAGCTTCAAGGAGCTTCCTTGTTGTGTAAAAGAACCATCTTTGTGCACTATTTTCGTGTACAGTGAGAGACAGAACCTTGGAGCTGTTGTGTGAGCTCCAAGAGCACCCTTTTTCTGAGTTTGAGCTTTGGTAAGCTTCATCACCTTTGATCTTGAGTCTTTAAGCTTAAAGATGGAACCTTGATGCATGTAAAGGTTAAAAGATGATAACTTAATGTTGGGGTTGGTCAAACACACCTAGAAATGCATGTTTAGGTGTTTAAAATCGGTAAAAACCCAACCTTGGAAGGATATCTTCACGAAATGAAGTTTCTGCATTCTGTCGTGAAATATCCGGATATGTCCCCGAACAATATTCGGATATGGGTTTTGAGTATCCGGATATTAGATATCCGGATATGGGATTCGGGATATCCGGATATTGCATATCCGGATATGTCCAGTGAGATATCCGGATATTGCATATCCGGATATGTCCAGTGAGATATCCGGATATTGCATATTCGGATATGGTCCCGAAGAATATCCGGATATTCTGGGATTTCGTAGAACAGTAGCTGTGCTGTGTGTACAGTAGGCTATTGGGGGTTTGTGGACCCTAGATTGAGGAAGTTGAAATTCTGTAATTATTGAACTAAGTCAGAATCGTTGTGATTAAGGGCTTATGGCTTGGTATGGAGCCTTAAGACGTAAAACGTAAGGAAAGGCGTTGTCTTTAAGTTATATGCTTGTGTTGCATTATTATTGATATAGTATTGGTCCATAACAGATTGTGAATCTGCTGTGTTTGAACTTTGAGCTGTGGACTCTTGGCTTGGGGAGTTAGCTTGCAAGGTAAGTTTTCGTGTCCTCGGTTTAGCCATGTTGTGGTTCCACCATGTCCCATGGGGGTATGGTTGTATGCATGCTGTGTTACATGCTTTGAATATTTGAAATGCTGTTGAGACTTTACGTGTAATGGCTTTTAATATGCATGTGTTGTTTCATCTTGACGGTAATCCTGAGTATGTGGCGTCATACGATATGGTGATTCGGGGTGAATGCAAGTAGCGTCTTGCACTAGTGTGGGTATTTAGCGTATGTAAATCCTGCATTTCTCTGGCCAGTGGAATAGAATTGACACACATGACATGATTATCTGCTGCATTGCACTATTTTAGAACTGATGATGATATCTGCTTTTAAACTTATATTGCACATGTAAGTGAGCTTGGGGTGGAAGATCCTTGAGGACCCCTTGCCTTACTGAGATTTCTTGTTTAGAGATCTCACCCCACGTTTGGGGAACGCTTATTTCAGGTTCCGGTAGTTTGGTGACTGATGCCTCTGGCGGCAGGAGGCCAGAGCTTAGTTGATGATATTATGTTGTTTGCTGCCATGACTGGATATTATTGCTGATTATGTTTTCCGCCATTTATGTTTATGTTGTTATTGAGACTGATGTTGGGCGTGTTGCCTTATTTGAGTGAGCATGGGGATTGTCCATGACACTGTATGTTGGTGCTTTTGATTTGGAGTTGTATAAACTGTTAGATGGTCCGGTCTACGTTGTTGTAGTTCCGTGACTAGAGCCACACTTTTATTATATATGTTATGAGGTATTTCAGTTAGCTGTTTTATTGCAATTACATACAGACGATGTTTCATTAATTGATTAATAAGCAAGTTGACAATGATAATGACATCATAATTGAAAAGAAAAAGATATTCTGCATTTTTTTATTAAGCGCTGCTTAATACGATAGAATGATAACATTACCGGATATATACGGGGTGTTACAATAAGGTTGCAGCAACAAGATTCTTGGATTTTCACTCCTAACCCTAAAGCCCAATTATCCAACCACTTTTCCTATTTAAAGAGGAGTTCCCCCACGGATTCAACAAGCGAGAGATAGGTCAGAAAGGCAAGAAAGAAGGGAGGGGAAGAATGTAGTACCCCTCCCACGTTTTAGAGAGAGAAAGTAAGGTTCTTGGAGGAGGAAGAGCTGCTGGAGCAGTGCTGGAGCAAAGCAGTGACGAAGTTTTCCTACAGCATTCGTTTTCATCTTCTTTTCTGTTTTCCAATGAGTTCTTTCTTTCTTTTCTCTGTTTTATTTAATTCCATCATGAGCTAATTTGCTCTATAGGTTAGGTGATAAGTACCTATGTTGTAACATTGAGATGTATGCCTAAACTTTGTTTTTATTAATGTTTAATTAGTTATTCAACGAGTTTGCTTAATTTTATTCATGTATGCATGTAGAGAGATACATATGTGATACTGAGGAGGTTGGGGCCGAGAGGTTTCCGAATCCTGACCCTTGTTGAATTGTGTGGATTAATTAGGTTAAAATATAACTTGATTAAGTTGTGGGTAGAGAGATCATTCACACCACATAGCCTTGAACTTGAACTTGAACAATTCAGTGATTAGTTTGGCCATAGAGATGTGGGAATTAGTTATTGGGTATATATGTTAGGTTGGCCAAAAGCCCCAGCATACTTTAGTGTTCGGTTACTAGTTAAACATTGATATAACATTGTTAAAGCATCGTTTCAGTATTGCTGTATCAGGGAAATTGATCCTGACCTATATCTCATCCATCAACTTAATACCTATTATTTTAGTTTACTGTTTTCTTAATTTCAATTATCTTTTAATTTATAAACCCAACCATCAAAAATCAATCTTTTATCTACTTTCTTTACTTAAATAATCATTGCTTTATAACTCATCTCCGTGGGAACGATACTTAGACTCACACATCCCTTTATTACTTGTGATTGTGTGATTGATTTAATTGATTGCAAATTGCACAACAGTGCACCACGAGCTTCTTTTTGCTTCTTATTCTTCCTCTGCTTCTTCGACGACTTAGCCTCTACCTCTACCTCGACAATCTCTTCAACCATTGCTGCTTTCTGCATCTTGCATGCATGCGCTTCTTTCCCCTTCTTATTCTTCCTCCGTTCCTTCGAGGACTCAGCCTCTACCTCAACAAGTTCTGCCATTGCTGCTTTCTGCATCTTGCGTGCACCACAGGCTTCTTTCCGTTTTTTATTCTTCCCCGGTTCTTTCGAAGACTCAGCCTCTACCTCTACCTCGACAATCTCTTCAGCCATTGTTGCTTTCTGCATCTTGCGTGCACGTGCTTCTTCCCCTTTCTTATTCTTCCTCCTCTCCTTCGAAGACTTAGCCTCTATCTCTACCTCGACAAGTTCAGCTTATGCTGCTTTATGCATCTTGCGTGCACCACGGGCTTCTTTTCGCTTCTTATTCTTACTCTTTTCCTTTGAAGACTTAGCCTCTACCTCGACAATCCCTCTAGCCATTGCTGTTTTTTGCATCTTGCGCGCACATGCTTCTTTCCCCTTTTTATTCTTCCTCCGTTCCTTCGAAGACTCAGCCTCTACCTCTACCTCGACAATCTCTTTAGCCATTGCTGATTTCTGCATCTTGCGTGCACCTCAAGCTTCTTTCCGCTTCTTATTCTTCCTCTGTTCCTTCGAAGACTCAGCCTCTACCTCTACCTCGACAATCTCTTCAGCCATTGCTGCTTTCTGCATCTTGTGTGCACATGCTTCTTTCGCTTTCTTATTCTTCCTCCGTTCCTTCGACGACTAAGCCTCTACCTCTACCTCGACAAGTTCAGCCATTGCTGCTTTGTGCATCATGCATGCACCACGGGCTTCTTTCTGCTTCTTATTCTTCCTCCATTCCTTCGAAGACTTAGCCTCTACCTCTACCTCGACAAATTCAGCCATTGCTGCTTTCTATATCTTGCGTGCACCACGGGCTTCTTTTCGTTTTTTATTCTTCCTCTGTTCCTCCGAAGACTCAGCCTCTACCTCGACAATCTCTTCAGCTATTGTTGCTTTCTGCATCTTGCGTGCACGTGCTTATTTCCCTGTCTTATTCTTCCTCCATTTCTTCGAAGACTCAGCCTCTATCTCTACCTCGACAAGTTCAGCCTATGCTGCTTTATATATTGCGTGCACCACGGGCTTCTTTTCGCTTCTTATTTGTACTCTTTTCCTTCGAAGGCTCAGCCTCTACCTCAACAATCTCTTTAGCCATTGCTGTTTTCTGCTTCTTGCGTGCACATGCTTCTTTCCCATTCTTATTCTTCCTCTGTTCCTTCGAAGACTCAGCCTATACCTCTACCTCGACAATCTCTTCATCCATTGCTGCTTTCTGCATCTTGCGTGCACCACAGGCTTCTTTCCGCTTTTTATTCTTCCTCTGTTCCTTCGAAGACTCAGCCTCTACCTCTACCTCGACAATCTCTTCAGCCATTGCTGCTTTCTGCATCTTGCGTGCACGTGCTTCTTTCCCTTTCTTATTCTTCCTCCGTTCCTTCGAAGACTCAGCCTCTATCTCTACCTCGACAAGTTCAGCCTATGCTGCTTTATGCATCTTGCGTGCACCACGAGCTTCTTTCCGCATCTTATTCTTACTCTTTTCCTTCGAAGATTTAGCCTCTACCTCTACCTCGACAAGTTCAGCCATTGCTGCTTTCTGTATCTTGCGTGCACCACAGGCTTCTTTTCGCTTCTTATTCTTCCTCTGTTACTTCGAAGCTATGAAGCACCGACACTTCAAAAACTCTGACGTGTCGTGTCCGACACTTCCCGACACTCTCAGACACTCTGACACCTATGAAGCACCGACACTTCAAAAACTCTGAAGTGTCGTGTCCGACACTTCCCGACACTCTCAGACACTCCGACACTCCCCGACACTCCAACACACGTTATAGAAATTTAAAAAAGGGTTCAAAGGTTAAGTTGCGTTGAGTTTTTGGTTCCAACTATTAGATTCGTTGGATTACGATTACCATTTTATTGAGTTTAATATAAATATTTGGGATATCTTATGTTTCTTAACAAAATTTATGAATATTATAAGTTTAGATACATTTTTTTGTTAAATTATTGAATATTAAATATGATGTATACTACATAAATTAAAAGTATTATTTAATATCAAAATGTGTCCTAACGTGTCGAAATCTAACATTTTTTGAAATTAACGTGTCGGAGTGTCGTGTCGTATCGTGTCACGTGTCAGTATCGGTGCTACATAGCTTCGAAGACTCAGCCTCTACCTCGACAATCTCTTCAGCCATTGCTGCTTTCTGCATCTTGCGTGCACCATGGGCTTCTTTTCGCTTCTTATTCTTTCTCTGTTCCTTCGAAGACTCAGCCTCTACCTCTACCTCGACAATCTCTTCAACCATTACTGCTTTCTGCATATTGCGTGCAGGTGTTTCTTTCCCCTTCCTATTCTTCCTCCGTTCCTTCGAAGACTCAGCCTCTCTACCTCTAGCTCGACAAGTTCATCCATTGCTGCTTTCTGCATCTTGCGTGCACCACAGGCTTCTTTTCGCTTCTTATTCTTTCTCTTTTCCTTCGAAGACTCAGCCTCTACCTCTACCTCGACAATCTCTTCAACCATTACTGCTTTCTGCATATTGCGTGCACGTGTTTCTTTCCCCTTCTTATTCTTTCTCCGTTCCTTCGAAGACTCAGCCTCTACCTCTACCTCGACAAGTTCAGCCATTACTGCTTTCTGCATCTTGCGTGCACCACAGGCTTCTTTTCGCTTCTTATTCTTCCTCTGCTTCTTCGACGACTCAGCCTCTACATCATCACCAATAATCTCTTCACCCATTGCTTGTTGCATCTTAAGAAAATGAAAAGAGAAGCGAGAGTGTCATGCAGAGCGTAGTTTTAGGGCATTAATTTAAGGGGCACTCTTTTTTCTTTGTAAATTATTTGATTCAAAGGTCACACTTTATTGAAGTCAATTAGCGAAATTTGATAGCCAATTAGCGCAATAATTTTCTTTTCTGTAGATATGAATAAATAATTTTTGGCTTGCATAAGATAGAGATTGTTGCATCACCAATTTTGTATAGATCAGCTTAATTACAAATTTTTCACATCATCCTTTTATAGTAAGTAAATATATAAATTTTTACATAAAAAAATATTAAATTTTTGTTTTTACTTTCTTTAATTGTTAGATACATTTATTTTTATTAATTATTTTTAGTAAGCATTAATAAAAATACTCTTATAATTGGTTTTATCAATTAAAATCAATAAGATAATAAAAAATTGAACTTGTGGATAGGACAAATTTTTCCTTAATTCTACACTCACGTAAAAGTATTCGGGGCTATGTTTTTTTTTTCTTTTATCTTCACATGACCTCACACACTGTTATATGTGTAGGGGATAATTTTATTTCTTATAATATAAAAAATATTAGGTAGTGTTTGGTTGAGGATAAATTTTTTTAAAGTGGGTAGTTGTCTTTGCTAGGAAAGATGTTGGAAAGTGAGTTTGGTAGGAAAGTTAAAAAAAAGTTGTTTGGTTGGACAAGATTTTACCGGGAAAATTGAGTATAATTTTTGAAAGTGTGTTTGGTTGAAGATAAAATATTGGTGGGTAAATTGAGAAAAATTACAAAATAACCCTTATTTGAAATAACCTTTTATTCAACAAGTTGATTGAGCCAACGACAATATCCACATCTTCACATCTCTGTTTATGTTTGGCATCCCTGTATCTGTCCCACGCTGTGACCGTCTCTGTGGTTCCATTTTCACCTGTGCGATCCGATTGTGGTTCCAATCGCTGGCAGGTTTGAGAAAACCCCAAGGTTGGAGATGACGCGGTTGGTCCGCATTGTTTATGCTGTCGCATATATTAGGGCTTCGACTTCCATGACGAAATTTCTTCTTCTTCTTCCTCTCTGAGTACTCTTCTTCACAAAGGTTGTTCGACTCCTTCTTCTTGTCTTCTGATTGTGAGACCTTGCTTCAACTAGTTGTTCTTCTTCTTTGCATTTCTCGTGGTGCCTCTTTACCTGTTCGAGAATCGTTATGCATTTCTGTCTCAAACATACATTTTTTTTACGTGATTTCTCTTTTTGTTCCTCTAATATTATATTTAAATAATTGTAAGCAGTACTTATCATCAAATGTAATTTCTAATTTAAATATTTGCATATATTTAATTTTTCCTATTATTTTGTACGTTTTTATTGATGTTTTTGGTAATAAAAATTTAGGGTAAATGTATGTTTCTCCTACAAATTACGATTAGTGGCGTAGCCACGTTATACTTATGGGCCTTAGCTACAGTTCAATATATTTTATTTATTATATATAATTATATAAGTAATTATAATTGGATCTTAGCTAAAATTGTAAGTTGGCCTTAACTGAAATTATAACAGTAATAACAGACGAAGATTTAGAGCTGCTTTGCGTGTATGACCAAATAACAGATTGTTTTCTTCTTAATTTCTTCTTCTTCTTCTTTCATCTTTTTTCAATTGGGGTTTTCTTCAAACTTTTTTTTCTTATTCGCACTCACCACCCGGAACCTGGCCATTCTGCGACAAGGTAAGATGTTTCGTACCTTTCTCAATATTTGACAGATACATGTTCTTGGAATATGCACTGATAATTATATTGTCCGCCGGGGAAAAAATGATTTACATTTTTGAACTTTGTAAAAGAGAAATTCTGTCTTTGCTTACCATAATTGTTTATTATGTGTTTCTAATATTAGTGAAATTCATGCCTTTTTTTTTTATTTACAACTTTTTGTTTTGTGTGGTTGTAGTTATTGATTTTATTTCTTTTGAAAAAATGGAGTGTTGTTTTGCGTTTACCTTATTTTTTAAAAAATAAATTATTTTAATGTAGAGCTACAGTTGCTATTGTAATGGAATTGAAATGCTTCTTGGTGTTATTTGTATTTGATTCATAACAGGAATGAGAATTTTGGCGATTAATCAGTGAAAGCTGTTAAAGAGAAAAATAAATGAAGATATATGTATACATATGGAGTATGAAAATTTCTTATACATATTCTTTGTTTTTTTTTGTATTTTTTAAAGTTTTAAAATATCTAAACACTGATTAAATGATTTACGTGGATCCAATGTCATTTAAATGATTTTAAACATTTGCCGCTGATTGTTCCATGTTTCTTTTTAATTGTGAAGTTTGTTGTCCCTCTATGTTGATGTTTTTAACAGATCACGACTAGGGGTATAAACGGGCCAAGTTAGGCAGGCTTTGATAGCCTAAGCCTATTTAAAAAATTTAGAGCCTATATTGGCCTATTAGCTTATTAAAGGCTTAATTTATAGGTCTGGTCTGACCTATTATAAAAAATAAAAAAACCTAATATGACCTATAAGGCCTACTAAATTGCAAACT